ACTGCCTGGATATGGCACCTGCAAGGCAGAACCACTTGCAAAARCACAGGCACATAATCTGTACACCAAGTGGTAGTCTCTGGGGTCAGCRAAACCTGGCGCATCAGTGTTGGCAGCATCGCATGCCTGACCTGCAGAAGTGCATGCTCCTGTCTGGCACTCACTCATCAGACCCCACAGTACTGCCCAACTTTCTGGGCCCAGCACCACCASCATCCCATCCCCAGCCACCCTGCGGCCAGCTATGACAGCAGAAGGGAAGATAAGTGGCAGGTTCACCAACATGGAGTTGGTAGCAGGTCTGGCTCCAGCCGTGATATTAACTGGCTTCAAGTCATGCCACCTCAGGAAAGTGCAAACAAGGACTCCAGCTGAGTGACACTAGCTTCCACTGAGCGCTTCCTCTGTGCTGTCCCCTCCGTCAGGGCATCATCTCATGGGACTCCTCCCAGCCTTTCTGAGATGGAGGAAGCTGACGTTGAAAGAACGTGAGGATCAGGGCCAAGCTCCCCAGAGGCACAGCCAAATCTCAACTCCTTGTGTGTCTATTCCAAAGCCTTCAAAACTCTGCATGGTGTCACCACAACCATGTTATACATTCAGAAAGCCCTAGTTCTGTGCCTCTGCAGGGCCCTTATTTTTCACAAAGCTCCTTTCTGGCTTTGTGAAAAATAAAAATTGACAAACTTCATAGAGTTTGGTGGATTTGAAAGATGGTAAAAGTCAAACCAGTGCAAGACATCACGGCACTGATGGTCCACAAACCACTGCAGCCCCAAATGTGGTCTTGCCCCAAACAACCAAACCTGAGCCTCATCTAATTGCCAGTTTGTAGGAAGCCCAGAGTAAGAAAGAACATGTTAAAGTGCACCACAGGGACATTGCCAGCAAATCCAGATGGGAAACCTCTAGAAAATAATCCAGTTTCTTTAATAAAATGCAGTGAGGGAGGAGCCTTCCCATTTAGACGAGACTTAAGAGATGTGTTAACCAGTCACACCTGTGGACCTTATATGGATCTCAATAGAAGCAAAAAAATTTTAAGTGACTGTTTAAGAGATTGTTTTCATCACTGTGACCMAAAGACACAACAAGAGCAACGTAGAGGAAGAAAAGATTGATTTTGGCTCACCATTTCAGAGGTTCAGTTCATGATCAGCCAACTCCACAGGTTGACTCAAGGTGAGGCAGAGCATCATGGCAGAAGGGAGTGGTGAGGAAAGCAGCTCAGGAGATGGCATTCAGGAAGCAGAGAGCTCTGCTCACCAGGGACAAAACATGACCCCAAATGCATACCCCCAGGGAACTGCTTGCTCTAGTCACACCCTGCCTGCTCTCAGTCACTACCCAGTTAATCCATTCAAGTGGATTAGTTCTACCGATTAGATTTTGGCTCTCATGATCTGATCGTTTCACTTCTGAAAATTCATTGCCTCTCACATGAGTTTTTGGGGGACACCTCATATCCAAACTTATAACAGTGACATTGATGAGACTGGAAATCTGAATAGGCTCAACTGGGTGCTTGATGATACCGGAGAGGCTTTGTTTGGGTGTGGGGTGGCATCATGGTTATGCTCTTCTGTTTTCAGGGCCCTTCTAGAGATATATATGCAACTATTTAACTTAGAAAGGATAGCATGCGCTGGGGTTGTGGCCCAGTGGTAACACTGGCATATGGGAGGCACTGGGTTCCATCCTCAGCACCACATAAAAATAAGTAAATAAAAAAAATAAAGGTATCATGTCCATCTACGATTTTAAAATATTTTTTTTTTAAAAAAAGAATGGCTTTCCTCTTTAAAAAAAAAAAAAGATACCATGTCTATTAGTTGTTGCAAAATAACATAGGGAGGGAAAAGGAGATCTAGGTGAGAGGGGTTGGTAATTGTTGCAGTTTGAATGAACCCATGGGAATCCTTCATACTCTATCACTTTCTCTTGTATGTTTTTAAATCTTCCATAATAAAAGGATTTTTAAAAACTACATGGGGGGAGGGTGCTAGGGCTGTAGCTCAGTGGCAGAGCGTTTGCCCAGCATGGGTGAGATACTGGGTTCGATCTTTAGCACCATATGTAAAAAAATAAAATAAATAGACAAATAAAATAAAGGCATACTGTCCATCTACAACTACAAAAATAATAATAATAAATAAATACTACATTGGTGTTGGGGTAGACGTTGGATTTAGTATATTTTATTTTGCTTTTGTTCAGTGACTTGCATAAATGGCATGAACAGAATGAAAAAGGTGTGTGTGGACCATTCTAATTGGCTCTGCCCTTGTAGGTAGCAGTTTGGCAGATGGTTTCAGAAACCTTAAAATATTTGTACTGTTTGCCCTGGTAATGACAAGTCTGCAAATGTACCATAGGTAGAAACAGCCCCAAATACAGTGGAAGCTTTTTAACAGAAGTGCACATTGCAGCCGGGTTTTTATTAGGGGAAACTTGGAAGCAACTTAAATTCCAACAACAGGAGAAGGATTAAAAGATCAGTCTGTCACCCTCTAGAACTGCCCACATCACCTCACAGTGCCTAGCAGTTGAGAGCAATGCCTGTCATAATTTTAAGTAAAATTCTGGTTTGAAATTATGTGTATATAGTTTTTTTTTTTTTTTTTGAGAGAGTGAGAGAGGAGAGAGAGAGAAAATTTTTAATATTTATTTTTTTAGTTCTCGGCAGACACAACATCTTTGTTGGTATGTGGTGCTGAGGATCGAACCCGGGCCACACGCATGCCAGGCGAGCACGCTACCGCTTGAGCCACATTCCCAGCCCATGTGCATATAGTTTTAATTATAACCATCTAGAAATTCAGAAATCTTTGATAATAAAAGTACTAAAGTGGGGGCTAGAGCTCAGTTGGTAGAGTGATTGCCTAGCATGCACAAGGCCCTGGGTTCAATCCCTAGCCCAACCAAAAATAAAATAAAATAACACTAAAGGGGGGCTGGATGGTGGCTCAGTGGCAGAGCACTTACCTAGCGTGTATGAGACGCGGGGTTTGATTTTCAGCACTGCATATAAATAAATAAAATAAAGGTTCATTGACAACTAAAAAATAAAAATACTAAAGGAAGGTCCCCAAAATGTGAATGGGATTATCTTTGAATGGAAGAACAATTTATCTTCTTTTTTCTCTAATTTTAGAGTTATGCATAATAACTTTTTTTCACTTTTTAAGCCTTAGGTGGCTTTAAAATACCAAAATTAACTTTAAAAAATTGTAATATAAAATTTCTGATGTCTTTAGGGTGTTTCTGAAATCCACCTTGAGAAACTTAAGAACTTATGACAATTTGACAGTTAATTAAAGTCAGCTAGATTTGGTGTTTTGGAGAAACAGTTTTTAGTTATCCATGCTTCTTGCAAAAGAGGGTTAAAATATTCAGTTGGAAATGGTGGCCCTCCTGCAGGAAGTTTGAAGTCTGCCTACACTCAGCCCAGGGCCAGGCCACCTCCCTGGTCCTCATTGCAACACCGAGACCCTGTTATTTTCTTCCCCTCCCTCCTTCCCTTACAGTAGGCTGCTTTTGACTTAAGAGTTGCTGACCCTACCACTGTGGTTTATTGGCATCCTTATAAGTAATGACTTCTCAGTCACTCAAAAAAGAACCTACTGAATGTTACCTGGTGTGCACAGAAATAAGGTGTTTATTAGCGCTCCCTTAAATGTAAACAAATACGTTGCCTCCCATTCTCACCCTACATCTGTTCTGTGCTGGTTTAGGCATATGGAAACAGGTGTCAACCCAGCACTCAAAATTATTGAAGGAGGGCTGGGGGTTGGAGGTGTAAGCTTAGTGGCAGAGAGCTTGCTTAGCATAGCGAGACCCTGGATTCCACCCCAGCATCACAAAAAAATAAATAAATAAAGTTGTTGAAGAAGCCAGATATTGAGTTGTTCATGGGCACCCAAGAGTACTCAAGGCAAGAGGACCGCAGCTGCTGGGCCGGCCAGTTGGAAAACTGCAAGAAATAGGGAAATAAGGAAGTGTGGCCCAAGGTGGCAATTCTAGAAACTGACAGCAGGTTGCTGTCAAAGGATTGGGATTGCCATGTGGGACTGAGGCTTTTGTCTTTTGCAGACCAGCAGGGCCAACTTTCAGCTAATTCTGTGATGTCAGGCCCCATGGGAACAACCCAGACCCACAGGCCTTGAATGAGTCCTGGATCAGGTCTACCTCCAGGGTCTCATCTGGGAACTGAGAAGACGACTTAGCAAAGTATCAGAAATTTCCCAAGCCCCTGGAGAAAGGGCGGGGCTGTTGCTATTCTTGGTGCTGAGTCCATCCCGGGGGGAGCGCAGCGGGCTCCCYTCTCCCTGGCACATATGAAGCTGCACTTTTTTTAGGTGTTTTTTAATCCATAATATGTGCTCAGGTTCTAAGAGAGTAAGAGCACTTAAATGTGTTTCCAGGATCATGTTTCTTTTTCTGGAGATAAAAATCAAGCAACTTCCTTTTACCTTCAGACTGTATTTTGGTACTACTTCTCCACTTTCTACCAGCTGCTATAAATAGATGGTTCATCCGTGGGGTCCTCGTGCTGGCACTTACTCTCCATATTGTGCACTCTCCATGTTCCCTGGATATAAATAGGGCCATGCTAGAATGAAAATAAATGTGCTCGCTGAGTCCTAGAATGCCAGAATTACAGGATCCTAGCCTTCGGAAAAAGATGATGAGTCTATCTTAAGATGGTAGGGGGTGGATACTTTATCCAGCAGATAGTAAACATACGCAAAAATTACCCAGAATGTTTATAAGCCAGAAATACAGATAAATTCAGGGAGGTCAGATGAGCTGGGCCACAGCACCCTTCAGTGGTTACAGGAAAATCCTGAGTTGTGGAATGCCTCAGGCAAAGGCTCCATGTCCCTCCAGTTGTCCCCTGCAACCTCACTCAGAAGCAGCCTGGCCAGGTGACTGTTGTTCTTCCAGTGCTGTCAGCTGGGAGTGATCTGCATGTTCAGTGTGTGCTTGTGTTTTGACAGGTGACCTTGGGGAAGGTGTTGAGAGTGATTGTGGTCATGAGGAGCCTGTTCATTGACCGAACAATAGTGAAGGGGTATAACGAAAACGTCTACACGGAGGACGGCAAGGTGAGTGCTCTGCAGTCTTGGGGTTGTGTAGTGCTGTTCTGTCTTGTTCTTTATTTTCTGTATTCCACAACAAATAGAGTCCCAGATGAATGGCATTAAAAACTAGCAATCATAGCCAAAATGATCGACAGACAGAGGTTTGTCAGCGTGAAGATGAACGTGTACGAAAACATTCCACTCTCTCTGCTTGCATTTTTCATCAAGCTCCTGCTTTTCCTCTAAGCCTGATGCCCTTAGTTGAATTTCTAATTCATCACCTTAGACCCCGGCTGCCTCATTAAACACGTCTTCTGAGGAAATAGATTTTTTCCCCCCAAGTCAGTCCGTACATCAATAGCCCAGGGTTCAGCATTTTGCTTTTCCTAGAACCACGAGGAAATGCGAGCTGATTTGACACAACTTGATGACACTCTTTCCACAAAACCAACAAGGAGCCTTCAGGAAGTTGCCTACCCACAGCCACAGATGCTGACGCCGCTGTGGAAGGAGGACGCGTGCTGTCCAGGGTGACGGTTCTGTGGGAGGCTCACCCGGGTGGACCCCTAGTCTCCTGTGACTCCACGCTCTCCATATGGCTCTATAGAGAGCCAGGGTCTTAATGGGAGCTGACAGCTTTCATTTGTGCTGCCTCCCAAGCATAATGAGCAGCCTCTTCAGAGACTCCCAGGTCCTCCCAGTCCTCACGATGCCCCCTCTCAGGAGTCACCCCCACCGCCCCCGCAACTCTCACTCAGACTAAAAAGTTCGTTACTAGTACTTTCACCCCACAGTGACCATGGTGCATTGAGAATAGAAGGTTCTTCAGAAACAGGTGGAAATGTGCTTAGCAAAGGACGTCGTGTTGTTACACGAGCTGCAGCCCATGGTGTAACATCTGCGTTTTGAGCAAGTCACCCACATCCCCATGGCCACGTGCATGCTGGCCATGTGGAGAGTCGTCCTCTAGCAGTCGCCAGGTTCTCGTCAGTCTCTGCACCAGAGCAGGTCATTTGTTGAGGGGAGATTTCCATTTTTCTTTGGGAAAAATCAAATTGTCCTTGGAGGAAACATGGAGGCGGGAGTGAGCAGTCAGGCAGGTGTGGCCTGTGAATGGCTCTAAACTCTGGCAGCAGCTCCATAAGGAAGTCCATGCACTGTCCACAATTGACGCCTCTCCAGGTCGGTGCATACCCTGCAGTGGGACCTGGCCACTTAGAGGTTCCTTGGGTCTCTCCAAGGTTGATGACGCTGTAGTCACACCTGGTCTGACTTACAAGTGAACTGGGAAGAAGGGTCAACTATAATCAGGACCATTCTCATCAGTCACCAAGTCATGATGCCAGTGAGGCATACTCAAGTACAGAGGAGGACTGGATTTTACCTGCTTTGCCTGATACCCTTAACCTTTCATTGATTTAAGTGCCCTATACTGAGAGTGTCCAAAACAACATACAACCAGCACTTAGCCTCTGCCGCTTGGTCAGTGCCGGGTAGACCATGGCTAGGGTTCCTTTTATTCTGCACTTAAGCATGAGCATTGGACAGCCCTCTCTTATGCACACCTCTAAAACTTCTCCGATGCCCTCTTCCCACACCGCAGATACTTCTTCTCGCCCATCTCCTTGACCTTGGGCTCCCCAGGGTCTCCCGCCTCCTCCCCTCGGCCACTGTGGTCCAAACATGGATCACTCGTTCAGACCTCCTCTCCCTGACCCTCAGATCCCACCAGGCCAGACCCAGGCTCATCGTATCTCCCTACACTCACTTCCCTCCTCTTCTGATGTTGGTCACCACATCACCTCCTGACTGCTGGAACTTTGCTTCCTTCATCCCCCACGGCTGATCTGTCAGCTGGTACTGGCGCTCTCCCTTGCCCATGCATGCGCTCTGCTTCAGTGCTCATTATCTCTGAGCTGAACACCTGCTCTCCCTGCCAGGAGTCCCATCTCTGGTCTCCCTTCCCTCCCAGTTTGTCCTGCCCTTGGCTTTCGGGGCCGCCTCCTTAAAATACACATCCTCACAGGTGACTCTCTTGCTTTTTACCCTCCGCTGCTGCTTGGAACAGCCCTCCCCAAAGTAAGAAAGTAGGATGGCAGTGGGCGCTGGGCTCAGAGCAGTCCACTGTCAAACAAGCTTGAGAAATACCGGTTAGAGAAAGTTGGTCCTGTTTTTTGTTTGGGGTGCTGGGGATGGAACCCCGGGCTTCATGTGTTCAGCATGTGCTCCCCCACTGAGCTGCAGACTGCAGAGAGCCCAGGGCCGTGAGCGCTATGTGCCTTGTCTGGAAGGGAGCTCACTGTGCGCAAGATGTTTCTATCTTACTGGGTCACCGAGCTCCTTCCTCCACCCTTTATTCTTAGAGCATATTGTGACACTGGCATTTTTCAGAACACACTTCTGAGAACTCCACTTGCAGACTAAACCCCATCTCCTCCTCAGGGTAAGCACTAGTGACTTGGCTTTCTCTGCCTCCTCTGCTGCTCTCTACACCATCCCATCTCACTCCCCGGCTTCGGGCTGCCCAGGACTCCAGGACATGCCCCTCTCCAGCATGCCTTTCCCTGGGATGGCTGCCCCTGTGGTCCACCTGACGAGGCCCTTCTCTCCCCTTTACACTTGCCTAACACAGTCGTCTTATCTGTCCCATTGTCCTAGGGGCCTGTTATGGTGACCTGTGCTCATGGGCTCCAGAGGTGGCAGAGTTGGCAGAGCTGGGTGCACCTCCACTCCCGGCACAAAGGGGTCACATCAGAGTCTTGAGCACCTGTTTGCCAGTTCTAGAATGAATTAGTATGGTGTGCTTGCTTACCTGTCCCTCTTGCAACTAATAGAAATGCCAGTGACAGTAGCATGTCTTGTCTGGTGGCATGACTGTTCAGACATTGCCTGCCTGGCTGTAGGCTCCCCAGCTGTCTGTCTCGCAGGTGAAGGAATGGGCTATAGSGGGGTGGATCCCTGTGCCCACAGCCTCACAGAGCCAGGTCTCAAACTTGCAATGAGCTGGAGCTCCCAAGGGCATAGACCTGTCCTGTGACTCTGCTGTGTCCCTAAGGTAATCCTCAGTGCTTGGAACACAGCAGCAGCCTGAGCACATGTGGGAAGCACGGGGAAGCAGCCTGCGTGGAGTTTGCAGTTGCGTGTTGAAGTGTCTTGCACATTTCAAATGCAATGTAACATTTGGAAGGTACCATTGGAGCCTAAGGTGTGGCCTACAAGAACAAATCATCACTTGAGTTTTGTTATTGCAAAGGTGCAGCCCTGCATTGGCTGAGTTGGTGCAGAAGTGGCTGGGGGGTGGCAGTGTTTTGTTGTAGTCTCCCAGAAACAGCCTTAGGGCTCTGGATGAAGCTCAGAGGTCTCGCCTCTGCCTCTGCGATGCCTGCCCACCATGCAGCTGGCGCTTTCTAAATGGTTTCATTATCCCCCTTACTGTGGGAGTGCTCCGCGCCACCCCCAGGTTACAGACCCAGCAGGGCTTTTCGTCTGCAAAACCTGTCCCAGCAAGACTCTGCTTTGCACTCTGCAGAACAGCCACCACCCTGACACCCTGTCTCTTCACCTGTAATRGCGTGTTTTGATACCGAACACCAGTAGCCTGATGGCTCTAATAGAAAACACAAATGCTGCTCCAACTCGCCCACCGCTCTTCACTGCCATCAGGGAGTCAGAGCCGTGGCCGTGACTCAGCATGTCAAAAGGCAGGCTCTAGAGCAACACCTGGCCATTGTCCCGATCCTAAGCCATCAGTCTTCAGTGAAAAAATTTAAGTGTCTCAGTTGGATTTGTCTTATTAGGGGATTTAGGTTATGTTAATGCTATAGCTTCATTAATTACCCCCATATCAATAAAAAAAAAGGCAGCTTTTAGCCTGCAAGCCTAAGAGAGGAAAAGAAATGGTGGTATCAAAGGAAACCTTCAAAGACAGCCAGAGCTGTCTCCAGGGTAATTTCTGATCCCGCATTCTTTCACTTCAAAGTTGGGTGTGTGTGTGTGTTTGGGTGGAGGGGGTTGGGGAAGCTGGAATCTGATTTCTCTAATAAGTGTTGGCATCAGCCCCGTTTGATATTAGATGCAGGGAACATTTTGATTTGTTATAGCCTTTGAAATTGTTCAGACGACCTTCAGAAAAATGGCCTCTTGTTACTTCTAGGGAGAAGGGTGAAAGCCAGGAGAGGGGAATCCGGTTTAATTCCCATGCAGAGGGGGCCCTGAAATTGTGCTTTCAGCAGTTTTTTTAGTAACAAATGCGTGTCCTGATTGAAAGTGAAAAGCTGAAGAATAATAGACCTGCAACACCGCGTTCCTCCCCAGACTTCCTCTTCCTTCTCCAGGGAGGGCGGGCAGGCTTAAGGGGATGAGCACGTGAAGTTTTCACGGTTTTGAAAACTTGAGAAGCCATGGAGAAATCTATCCCTGTCACTCAGGTGTCACATTCACCCAAACTGACGCGTCTGGTCAACCTGTTGACCTTGCAAGACAGAGCTCCTAAATAAAGGCTTTAAAAGTTGAAACCCCTGTGGCTCATAAGTTCTGTTTTGAAATGTCCATTTTAGATCATCTAAAATTCATTGTATGCATTGTTTTTCAAAATGAAATAAAGAATTGATAACTTTCTGAGAAGCTGCCAGAATTTCAGATACTGCTAAATGAATTTTAGTGGCGATGATTACCATGGCAGCAGGCCTCGAAGCAGATTTGCAGTGTTGAACTCTGCAGGAGAGTGCCCCCAGAAGAGCTGTGCAGGCATCAGCGTGGGGGCTTCCGAGTTGGTGGCCCATCTGAAGTCAAGCTTAAGGGCAGCCTCCGCCCCCAGGGAAAGGGGCCTCTGGACTCGCCTGCTTCCAGACTCCTCCAGACAGCAGCTAGGTGGCATTGGACAACTTGCTYAACCTCTCGGGGCCTCAGTTTCCTCGGCTGTGAGTTGCAAATGATCTTATCAACCTCGTGCTGGGAGGACAGGTWAAGTACAGGCCATAAGACTCCTCAGCCAGCCATGCCTGCGCTCGCCGGTTGTGACAGAGGAGACAGTGGTTATCATGGAAGTTAAAGTGAACTGCCAGTGATGGCAGGTCCTGCTGATTATTCTTTTTGGTCACTGTTTTCACTAGTTGCCCCTGTATAGAGAGGCCTTAGGACACCTCGGCATTTGTCCTGAGAGCAGATGTGTCTGTGCTGAAGTTTTTGGTCATCCTTGGGGGAGGTGAAAATAGACCCTATTCCCACCCTAAGGCAYGTCTTCCCATCCCCAGAGGCCAGGATGCTGCTCACAGGACTGCAGACTTGGCCAGCGGTCACCAYAAGGTCTTTCAAATGCTTGCCAGCAAACCCAGGGAGCTCACCTTCTTACCCTGACACCGTGGTTCAGAGTCATTTTTAGTTCATCAGGCTGGAGGCGTGCAGCCTCACAATGCTCCTTTTCTGAATATTGCAGCCAGCAAAAAAACGGGTAGCCATACCCGCCCTTGCAGTGGGTAAGCTGGAGCTAATAAATATTCACGCAGCTATGGCGTAGCTCCCTGGATGAATTTCTGAGATCTTCCTGGCCCTGAGGAGAGGTGGCATTGACTCCAGCACACTCATTTAAATGGCTTTCTTTGGCATAAATCTAGCAGAAAATCAAGTACAGACCACCTGCCGTGTGGTCCTGCAAAAGAGGGAGCCCATTGTTATCCAGCCCTCTCAGCTGTGTGCACCAGGTGAAGGGACCACATTGTCCAAGGCCCCTGGCTCCCAGATGGTAGAGCTGTCCCTAGGGTCCTGAATAATATATTTAAACCTCCTTTGAAAAAGAGCAGCACCCTCGCTTTGAATAAGCTAGGAGTGTTCTGAGAATCCACAATGAGCTGCAGAGCCCGGCTCCTAATTAAACCTTTGCATATTTCTTCATAGATAATGTTTTCATTAAAACATTTTGAAGATACTGAAGGTGTTTTAAGACAATTTTCTGTTTAAGCAAACACTGATACTTTTTAGCTTGTGCAGATTCCTCTTCTGGCTCTGCGTTTGTCTTCTGCTTCCGCGGGGCATGACGAGGCAGGAAGGGTGAATGGCAGAGGGCTTCAGAAGCAGCAGCTTTGGGCTCGAGCTGTAAGGAGAACTAGTTAGTCCCAAGTGCATCTTTGGCATCTCCCTGTCATCTTGGCAGTGATTTGGGTAGAACTAAAAGATGCAAAAAGCCATTCATATTCACCCTGCAGTTCTGAAGAATCTTTAAGTGCCGCATTTGTTAAACCTTAAGCCAAACTGCTATACTGAGAAAGTAGCAGGAACCTGGCTTTGTATCCCCTCTGTGACCAGCTGCCCAATGGTATACTATAAAAGAATTGATAATGTGGGGAATTAATTTTACATATTTCTTTTGAGGTTTCCTTCAGAGTTATCTTTGTCACTTTTCCCCTACAAATTAAAACTCTAGCGCCTGGAGTTTTTTAGACTCTTCCTCATCCATTAGTTGAGGGCAAGGCTGGCTATGACTGCAGACTGGCCACGTGGCCTTTCTAGGAAGCGATTTAGCAGGAGTGGAGGGAAGGAGTGGACCGGGGGTTCTTGTGGAGACCAGGAGGGACATGGTGCAGCCCAGGGACCTGCTTGAGGAGGGATTGCAGTGTGTTTCCAAGTGGAGGGCAGGAACGTGCCATCAGGCTCTTCTGCAAGGGCGCTGGGGTTGGCCAGCTGACCTCTTCCACCCCAGCAGGGGCCTGCAGAGCTGGGAACCGTCTTAGCCTTCTCTCCTGCAGAGTGTTCACCACAGTGAGGGTGACAGGAGACCAAATGTGAGCAGGAAAACTCTGGAGAATTGGATGAGTGCCTGGTCACAGCCCAACTTTTAATTTTCAAGGACTTTTTTTAGAAAGCCAAGTGCTGGTGTATTTCCTCAAAATAGAAGCCAGGTCAAATGCAGCCATTCCACTTCCTGTCCTCTTAGAGGAGTCTCCCCTGTGACTTGCTTCTCATTCTCCTGGTGGCTCCAAATCAACAGCGTGACATTCAGGCCCAAACAGCCCCATCTCGGACTCCTGCGTGACCACTGGCCAACCCCAAAGGCAGGTTCCAAGAGACCCATCCTCCGGCATTTCAATTTGCTCAGCTCTTGACCTCGGATATTAAAGCCAACTGTCCAGCACTTCTGGGACTCGCTGAGGACTTCTCCTTTAATCGTGATCCTTGGGCTGTCTCCAGCTCTGTACTGGGGTGATTTGGGGTTTGCAATACTTTACTGCTCTTGAAATAGGGCGAAGGCACAGGTCTGCTTCATTATGCAAACTGTGTTTGACTAGGGTAGACCACATCGAGTTCCCAGCCCATCAACATCAAAGTTTACCTGGAACACCGCTGAAAAGACAAGATAACAAAAGGAGAGGACTCCAGGGGAGGGAGCAAGGAATCTGCACCTATTTTTAAATCCTACCTAGGGGCTTCTGACCCCAACCAGGTTTAAACACCACCAGGTGAGGCTCTCTGTAGGAAGCCTGTCCAGGTAACCCTGGCTGTTGGACAGCTCTGGACCCTGACTCCTCACCTGGAGAGTGAGGCTGCTAATGGAATCGGCCACATCCGCTCATTCTGGGGATTAAATGAACCCATGTGGAGGGCCTGGTGGGGGCCTGCCGTGGGTCAGGTGCTCGGTAGCTGGATCCTGCTAGTTTTCCTCCACCYAGCAAAGACCTACTGACACCCTCAGTGTGCTTCGGATATGGGGAGGAAGAAAGGCCTCCTGCCATCGCTGAGCTTATATTTCTCTGAGCAAATCAGATAGTAAATATACAAAGAAATGATAGCACCTCGGGCAGTTTCAAGTGCTATACATTTAAATTTTTGAAAGGGTGTAGACAATCAAGATGGCAGATACTGGGAATGATATTTTGATAGGTAACTGATAAATGCCTCTCTGATAAGGTGACAGAGCTGCAGGACTTATAGGAGAAGCCATGGGAGAGCTTGTGGAAAAGAGTCCAGCAACGRGCTCAACAGGTGCCAAGATCCTGAGGCATATTGAGATGCAAGAACCGCAGTGGGAGTCAGGGTTTGAGCAAGTGCTTGATTGCCTGTGTTCCTCCATTTGCCTTCCCTGTATTCATCCCTTCATTTGTTTTTCTGAAATCACCTACAGATTGATAGAGAGGAAATTTAAGCAGAACATTTAAGATCTTCAACCCCAGATCCTATTCTGTAATCTGAATGTTTTACTTTTTCAAGTTTAGTAAGGGTAACAGTAGTTAAAGGCTAGAATTCTGAAATTATTGCTAATGATTTTTTTTCTTTCCCCAGCTGGATATATGGTCGAAATCCAACTATCAAGTATTCCAGAAGGTAAGTCTTACTTTCTACTTCTCCTTCAGGATGTGTTAGCAAAACACGAGGGCATGGGGAGTAAGCATTGGTCTCCAACCAGAGGCTGTGGAAGAAGTTTAAAGAGCCCGTCAAAAACTGCTCACCGCKCACTTCCATCTACATGGCATGCCAAGGAAACAAGACCTTAGGATGGAAATCCCCAGAAGGGTACGAGGGAAGGTGCTGGGGCAGTGGAAGTGCTCTTTTACAGCCATGGTCAAGATGACACAGGTGTGCATGTGTCAGAACTCAGAACTGCACACCTGCTGTGGGTAGGTTTTATTATATGTAACTTACACCTTAAAAATCAGGGGCTTTCGGGACCAGGGCTGGGGCTCAGTGGTAGAGTGCTCACCTGGCATGCATGAGGCACTGTTTGATCCTCAGGACCACATAAAAATAAAACAAAGGTATTATGTCCACCTATAACTAATATAAATATATATATATATATATATATATATATATATACACACACACACATACACACACATATATATATATATACATACATATACATACATACACATACATACTTTAAAAATCAGGGGCTTTTGAGTTACTCCAAGGTCAACTCCATTTTGCAACTCATTTCTCAAAGAGTTCCAGGTGCCTGGGGGTGGGCTGGGGGAGGCTTTACCCCCATTTCACACTGTGCTAGTAGCTTGGTCAGGCATTGGGCTTCCTCGTGGAAGGTGTAAGTGAATGTTATCCACAACAAAGAGGGACGAGAGAAACCCCAGTCCCCAGCTCGACATTTCATCTTCCCAGAGAACCTCCACGCGCAGGGAGCAGAGAGCAGGGAGGGCTCCCTGTGGTGCTTCCTTCATGGCAGCTCACCTTGACCCCCCTGACTCATTTGCCATGATAAGGGGCAGAAGACCTGAGCCAGGAGTGGAGAAGCAGCCTGGGGCTGGAAAGCACACCTTTAGGGAGCCTATAAGTGTGAGCAGCCAGAATTCAGGAACTTACCACAACTCAGTGCCACGAGACGTTCTTGATTAGACCTGTCAACAGCAGGTGCGCGGGCTGGAGTGGGTTACTAGTGAGTGTCCAATGCTGGTCCCTTCACAGTGGAAGATGTTAGCAACAGCGAGCAGAGGAGGGGGCTGGGCCCCCGTTGGTGTCATTTACACCTCCTTACAAATACAGTGCTCCCAAGTTGAGAGAGAGTCACTGAGAAAGCCACTGCCTTGCCCTGCAGGGAGCTCATGCCTAGGCTTTAGTGCCAGGATAGCATTTGTGATCTTGGCATCCTTATCTGAGTCGCCACACCTAGAGTGGTCACTTGGACATCGTGCAGAACATCTCGGCCTTAAGTGCTAGCTTTCTGTGCTGGCTCACCAGGCTTTGCCCCTGGCTCTTGGCTGAAAGCATTCTAGAGAGAGAATGCAGCTCATCGTTGGCATCTTGTTTTGCTGGAATGGTGAGGGACATTTACAACCGCTGCTTTTTCCTTTAACCTGGTTCTTACCTTTGTGTCCTCTGTGAGGTGGCAGTGAGTTACCTTCCCCCAGCTCCACAAAAGCCCTGTCCTTCACCAGGCAGGAGCCCTGCAGCCCAGACCCTGGACTTTAACATTGGTCCCATTTCCATTCCAAAGCCCTTTATGGCAGTGGGGGCTTTRCAGTTCTGGCCTTTGCATATCTATCCCTCCCACACAATTTCTGGTAAAATTAAGTGTTTTTTAATATAGGCAGAAAGTTTATTAGGAAATTGGGAAGTGTGTGCAATGTAGATTTGGTGATGCATAGATTTAAAGAGACAATGCTGCATCTTTATCCATCTGTATCCTGTCTCTCCTGAAAATGACCTGCCGGGGGTTCTTTGCATTTTTTAAAAACTACAAACACACACAGAAGCAGTGTTTAGGATTAATATCAGTCTAGTTAGAGAGGGTTAAGAGCACCCGCAGTTCCTTCCCTGTAGTTGATGCTATGTTTGAAGCAGTATGGTTGGGGACTGTGTATCAGCTGGGGAGGGCACAGAGTCTCCCGAGATTCCTCTGTCATCTCTGCCTTCCCCTGTGTTTAACTAAATGGACTTGACCTCCAATATGACCTGTACTAGATTAAAGAATCACAACTCGGGGCAGGTGACAGTGCCATCTGGTTATAACTAAAGGCGGATAACACTGAAGTCTTTTTTTTCCTTCCGGCCGGTAAGAATTAATAGATGGAGCTGGGCATGGCAATGCACATCTGTGATCTCAGCAACCTGGGAGGCTGATGGGATGGCAAGTTCAAGGCCAGCCTCAGTGACTTAGCAAGTTCCTAAGCAACTTAGAAAGACCCTGTCTCAAAACAAATAAATGAAAAAGGCTGGGGATGTGGCTCAGTGGTTAAGCACCCCGGGGTTCAATCCCTGGTACCAAAAAGATAAAAGRGAATTAGTAGATGGAAGAATCCTCATCTCTTCCTATCAGAGCATTGCCTGATCGCTGCCAGATGAAGCAATGTATTAGAAAATAATATAGCACAGAATTAGATTAAATCCCTTCTCAAAAAAGCTTCCAACCACATGAGCAGTTTGGCACCTTGTCGGAAAGTTCACGCTCCTTGCTTGCAGAAGGTAGTGGTGGAGTGATCATGCAGAACAGGCAGTCAGGGTCCCTTCCTGGGAGCTGGGGTGCACTATGCTGGTTTCACTGTGTTCACCTCAGCCAAGGTGAGGTCAGCCCAGTCAGATGGTGGCACTTCCTGTGCCCCAGCCAGGCCTGGCACTAAACAGAGCTGGGGCTGTTTCGTCTGCTGCAGACTCTGAGGCCTGAGCAGCCTGTGGGTGATGATTAGCATCTCAAACTCAAAATGCCAAAATAGAAGGATCAGGCAGCAGTGTTCTAAACTTTGCTTTTTAGGACCAGCTATTTCTCAGAATTCTATTTTCTTCCTATCCACCCACTTAAATCTGGGGTGTACTGATTGATGCTGCTTATAGCATTTTCCTGAAAGACCGTGTTCAGGAGCATGGAGGTAAACGTTCCCTTTCGCCCCTAACTGGCCTGCTTGTGCCCAACCATGTAGACTGGCCAGGGTAGGCCTTGTTACCAGCATCGTCTGGATCCATGCATCAGGAGGTGGTGTGACGTGCGCAGGAGGCTCTGGGTCTTCAGTAAGGGGGTGTCTCAGGCAGAAGACGGTGCCAAAATGTCCTGACAGTGGTAGATGCACAGCTGTGCCCTCTTCTGAGAGGGGGACTCTTTCCCCACCACCCTCCCCACACAGCTGGCCTGGGGTAGAGCCCCAAGGCTGTGCCTCTCGGGCAGTCATCACATGGCTATATTTACTGGAGGGGAAATGTTCCTGCTGGACAGTAGCAGCATGGCCACTAGAGCCTGCTAGGAAGGCAGGAAGCCCTCAGAGGTCGTCTCCTCCCTGTGATCCAGGAGGGGCGGTGGAGGGGACTACCTTGCAGAGCCAAAACTTTTCACTTCTGAAAAATGGCATCAGAGGCTAGACAATAGAAGCACACCCCTGTCGGATTCTCCCGGGGCCCATGCCTGCTCCCTAGTTAAAGCTGCAGACCTGAGGTTCTATAGCAAATTCCACCATGGGAAGCAGACTTTGGCCTCCTTTTGTCTGCAGACGTTGACTGTCAGCAAGCCCTTTCTGTCGTGCTCGTTAGATCCCGTACCTGAGTGAGGAAGTGGCCGCAGGCCGGAGACGGCTTGCTGTGGGGCTGCGGCTGCTGACAGGTGCCTGCCATTCGCTGCGCTCCCCCAGAGGCTTCTTGCGCTTCATCCTGGGGCGAAGCAGCTTTTCATAGCCAGCAAGTCTCCAGCAGAGTAGATTTCAGAGAATGGGACTTGGAAATAAGGGGACCCTCTGAAAGGGCAGAATCACAAAGGCCGGGAAAGGTTTCAAGCGTGTTAGTATTTTTCTGACATTTAAACTCTGCAGGGGCAGGCACTGTTTTGATCTTTAACCCCCTCATTTCACAACAGTGTGCACCTCCCTCCAGCAACTCAGGAGCGGAGCCAGCCTGCAGCTTCTCACTGAGTTAATCTTGGCGGCAGGCGGAGGGGCTGGGAGAGGGTCAGAGCCGCTCAGGTAAAGGGCAGAGCAGCTATGGCCACAGAGCTCCAGCACTTGCGCCACAGTCATTCTGCCCACAACAGAGGGGAGAGTAGCCTTCTTGGGCCTGCTCTGTCAGGACTGGCTGTGGACAGGTGGACTGTCCARCAGGGTGCTGCCACTCCTTCACCCCTGTGTTTGTTCACGCGTCCATTTTTTTCTTTGTTGTTTTCATTTACACACTACAGTGGCGTGTGTTTTGACATACACTCATACAGGAGCATAACTTCCTGTTCTGTGGTTGCACAGGGCGTGGAGCTACACTTTTCCTGTCCTGTGTGCATGTGTGAATACAGGAAAGTGATGTCTGATTCATTTTACTGTCTTTCCCATTCCCAYCTCCCCACCTTCCCACCATTCCCCTTCATCTAATCCATTCGTATTTCAGAGAGAACATTTGGCCTTTGGTTTTGGGGTGGCTTATTTCACTTAGCATGATGATCCCCAGTTCATGCGGGCCCTGTGAAAGACCAGGCCCTGTCTGGGGACAGGCTTTATCCAGGATGTTTACTGAGCGGTCACTGGGTGCTTTTYGATAGAAGGAACTGAGTGAGCTCTCTAAGACCCAGTTCTCTGAAATGTTAGTGGAATCCCTAGTATTATTTTGGGTGTGTTGAGGATCTGCCCCTGCAACCTAGGCTAATTGAAGTCCTGAAGCACAGGAGCCTTCCTGGAGAATGGAGCCCTCACCAGCTGGGCCGGGTAACCCATGTTACCTGAGCACATGTGCTCTAGCACCTCACACCACCCAGACGCTCAGGAAACTTGTGAAAGACCTGAGAGAGTCCAGAGCTGAAAGTCCCAAGACCTCAGGTCATATTGGTCTGCATCTTCCCAGGACCCTGTGTAGGAGACTCCCACACCTAGAGTGCCCACTGCCGGCGACCACCCAGAAGTCGGCAGAGG